GGCCATCCCAGGTAGAAATGTGTATGGTTGCTGGTGCTGCCACCATGTTCCATCTTCTCCACCTTGGAATTATCTGAAGAGTCTCTGTCCCATGTTCTTTTTATAGTCCCATCCTTGCAATTGTGCAATATAGCACAGAGCTCAGCATCTCATGAACATTCAGGAGACCCTAGCCTATGCAAGAATGATTCCAGATCAGTCCGATGCATGGAGTACATCTTCAGCATACTGATGTCTTTTTTCCAACATTTTTCGGGGAAATGGTTAGTAAGTTTGCAGATACTACCAAAATTGGTGGGGTATAGTCAACAGTGAAGAAGCTTATCCAAGATTACAAAGAAATCTTGTTCAATTGGGCAAATGGGCTGAGGGGTGGCAGATGGAGTTTAATTTGGATAAATGCATGGTATTGCGTTTTGGTAAAACAAAGGAGGACAGGACTTATACAGTTAATGGTAGGGTCTTGGGCAGTGTTGTCCAAAAGAGACACCCAGGGGTTCAGGTACATAACTCTTTGAAATTTGTGTCACAGGTAGACAGGGTGGTTAAGAAGGCACAAGCAAGCTTGACTTCATTGCTCAGACCATTGAGTATAGGAGTTGAGAGGTTATGTTGAGGTTCAACAGGACATTGGTGAGACCACTTTTGGAGGACGGTGTACAGTTCTGGTCTCCCTGCTACAGGAAAGATATTATTAAATTGGAGTGGTTTCAGAAAGGATTTGCCAGGATGTTGCTGGGACTGGAGGGTTTGAGTTATTGAGAGAGGCTGGTTAAGCTGGGACTTTTTTCACTGGCGCATAGGAGGTTGAGGGGTGACCTCACTGAGGTATAGAAAATCCTGAGGAGCATAGATAAGGTGATTAGCAAAGATGTTTTCCCTAGGGTGGGGGAGTTCAAAACTAGGAAGTATATTTTTAAGGTGAAAGGAGGAAGATTTCAAAGGGACCGGAGAGGCAACGTTTTCACACTGAGGGTGATTGTACATGGAATGAACAGCCAAGGGAAGTGATGGACGCAGGTACAGTCACAATATTTAGAAGACAACTGGATAGGTACATGAATAGGAAAGGTGAAGAGGGATATGGGCCAAAGGCAGGCAAGTGGAACCTAGCTTAGTTTGATAAAATTGGTTGGCATGGATGAGTTGGACGGAAGGGTCTGTTTCCGTGCTGCATGACTCCATGAGTCTATGGAATAAGGGTGTCAGTTATTGGTCAGCACTTACCGCCCATCTCTACTTGCCCTGGCTAAGTTGATGGTGACCTGCTTTATTCAAGGGCTAGAGACCTTAGGATGCAAGGACATCCACAGTGGTGTTACAAAGAGAAATCTAGGATTGTGACTCAGCGGCATTGACGGAACAGTGATATAGTTCTAAGTCAAGATGATGCATGACTTGGAGGGGAAATTCAGGGTGGTGGTGTTCCCATGTATCTGCTGACCCTGCCATTCTAGGAATTATAAGTCATAGGTTTGGAAGGTGCTAGGTATTTGTTGGGGTACTTATTTCATCAGTCAACTTTTTAGCTGGTCTTCTTTGACTTCAAGCAACCAGCCAATAGATCTGTCTTTGGCCCCTCAACTGCCATTGTGTATTCAGCTTGTTTTCAGTAATGAGCTCCAGGGAACTTGGCAATGCACAGACAAACAGTTAAATTTCCAAAAGCGACATTAATATCATTTCAGTTGACCAAACAGCACATTAGACTTGACAACCAGTCTTTGTTGAAGGGAGCCTAACAAGAAGCAGTTAAATGTGGAAGGTGATAGGTTGCAGCCAGCTTCCTAATGTACTGTCAATTCCCACACATTTTAGCCCTCCACCCTGTTCCAATCCCATAAGCTCCTGCAAGTTGGAATTCAGATAACTTTTTGTTTGGTGCATGATTGATTAATCTTGCTTAAGAACGCAAATGACTTTGTGATATTTGACATGAATAGCAGACACAAACATTAAAATCTACTTTTGGAACAAAATATGTTCTTCTCAAGAAGTGTCACCTTATAAGATTTTATTTTTATGTAGATTTTGAAAATATTGACAATGCCATTTGTCTTATTTTTGCCTGTATCACAGAATATGTTAGAAAGTAATAAAAGTGGGACTTATTTGACTCAAAAGACCCAGTCTTCATGAATAAGTGTTAGGCTTTTTTTTAGTTCTATTTACTTTTTCATTTATTGTGGCATTATTCAGTGGTGACATGATAATTTCCATTACGATTCAGATCATTACACTGTGCATGAGTATTGAGGAACAATAAGGGTAATGAACATTTTTTCTAATAATGTTCCTCTAACTTAATGTTAGCACATTCTGGGATGTTGAATGTAGAGAGAACATTTATCACCTGAACAGCAGAGAATCCACATCCTGCTGCAGCAGTCATGAAATGTTGATGTTTAGCCATTGATTGAAATGTAAGATGATATTTTCTATGCTCATTCACTACTTTCCTGAACATTAATACGACATTACTTTAGAACTGAGAATTTGGGTTTGAAATTAGACATTCTAAGAAACTATATGGTTGTTACTCAGTTAGTTAATAAGCACTTAAAATGATCAAAGTTTCAGCCACCCAATTCTAAAATTATTATTGTAGGATGTTAACAATAACAATTTAAAGTAATGCTGTGGTTCTACTACAGATTTGCAATTCTCAAGTAGCTAGTTCTTGGAAGCATCAAGTACTTTGAGAAATCCAAAGATTTCAAATTAATTCTGACTAGCGTTAACATTAGACAGACAACAGAGCAGAACCATTTACATCTATAATAAAGTAACAAGATATTTACAGTAATATTTATATTTCTTCAACCTCTTCTTATTCATCACCTACTTCCCAATACTGTGCATTGACCACTGGGCAGGCAACAAAAAATACTGGCTTTAAAGTTTACCTCTTCCCCGATACAACCTCATCATTTCCTTCTTCGACCTCCATCTCTGCCTGTGCACTACAATACTTAAAACCAAAATTATGTTTAATTCAGTGCTTTCCTGCAATTGAAATGACAGTTACCTTATAGACTAAAAAAAACAGCTCTCCTAACTGCCAAGACGGTTCTGGTGTCCCACCATTTAGATACAGGCATACAGTTTTGGATCATGGGGATGGGGGCAAGAGGAGGGCAGAGCATTGTGATTTGAATTATCATCTTTTCTTGGGAAGTAAATACTAGTACCATTAAAACAACTGGCACACAGAACTGTACAAGTTCAAAATTAACCTCAAACATTCTATATCTATCTGAATCATAAAGGCCAAAGGAAGGTTGCATTATTAGAATTTTCCTCAAGTAGATTATAATGCCTCATCTAATTAAAATTCTGAATAGATTAATTTCACAGCATTGTATAGCCCTCAACAAAATAAAGAAATCAAAATTATGAACAGAATCCCCACAGTGTGAAAACAGGCCATTCAGCCCAACAAGTTCACACTAACCCTCCTAAAAACAGACCCATCCCCCTACCCAATCCCTATAACCCTGCATTTCCTGTACCTAATGCACCTAACCTACACGTCCCTTAATACTATGGATAATTTAGCATGGCCAATCCACTTAACTTGCACATCTTTGGACTGTGGGAGGAAACCGGAGCACCCAGCGGAAACCCACACAGACACAGGGAGAACGTTCAAACTCCAGACAGTCACAGTCAGTCTCCTGAGGCTGGAATCGAACTCAGATCCCTGGCGCTGTGAGCCACCGTGCTATCCCTTGTTATTATTCTGTAGATGTAAGTGTATTTGGATCTTTTCAGTTATCTCTCTATTTCAACAGGTGGTAAAAAGGATTTCACGTACTAATTATCTGCTGAATTACACATTTCAGTCATATCAGTTTGGGAATCTCTGCTGCTGTCTAAAATTCTGCTCCCTCTCATGGTTTTCAGTACTGATTTTCCTGGTCACATGTAAGTCCCTTCCTTTAATCTAATACAATTGTTCAACTTTTTAAGTCGTAAGCACAAGTGGACCTCTTTTTCCATGGAGCATTTTTTCTTAATGAAGACCTGTTGAGAACTACAAAATGTGTCTTTAAATCCTTGCCATTGCTCACTTACTGTCATACCTTTCTATCTAATTTATCAAACTACCACAGCCAACTCATCTTCTAATGCTATGTAATTCATTTTGAGTTCCATTTTCTAAACACTTAGCTTTACTGGTATTTCTCCTGCAAAAATACAGCTTCTTCTTTCTAATCAAGTAAGCCTTTACATTAAAACTTAGAGAATAATTGATTAATGCCACAAAATGTTCATGTAAGGAAATGAACCTCTTTACATCGCTGATAAATTTAACAAGTTTATCATGTAAGCAGTGACTTTTAAGTGAAATGAAATCAAACTTTACAACTCCATTCACCAGTCAGGGGCAAGGTCCTTTCCAACTGTGTTAAATGAAAAGCAAAGCAAAGCAAATTACCAGTCTTCAAATATTAGCCACGTGTTTATCTTTCTCACCCAATTCTACACCTTTCCTTCATATAGCTGATATATCTGTCAGTTTGTTTTATTGTAAGTCTTTTCAAAGTTTTTGATCATTCTAAAGTTACAGATTATTTCTTCTTTCTTGTACTTAAAAGCCAAAATTCAAATTGGGTGAATTTATTCAACAAAGAGTAACTTATAAACCCATACTCAATCATTGTTTACAGAGAAATTGCCAAAGGAATACTGCAATACTATTTTCTTAAGAATGCAACAAATAAGAGCATGAAGATGCTTTAAGAAAATTAAGACCTTACCAAGAACAAATCTACCATTTCCTTTGGCATTCAAAAATGACAGAATATAAAGAGATATTGTGGAGACTAAGGTCTATACAATTCAAATACTGCCATCAAGTGGTAACAGCAAGTGATTGACTAAGAGATTGAATCAAGTTCTTTATAGAGAATATGCAGCAATTGCTTGCTGAGGCCAATGGGTTCACACATGTCAGCGTAATTAAAATTAATCATTGCTCTTGAACTAGCAGTTACCTTTCCTCTCGTATGTATGGAGTCAGGAACCGAGACGAGTCATCGTCATGGCTGCTTTGTTGACTGCTTTGCTGGCTGCTGAAGATTTTAAAAAAAATTGCCGTTAGCTTGGAAACATTAAAAGTAATAGCAGTTTAAAGTTTAGTATTATTATGGTTTTATTCGTCAAACTTGTTTTTACATGACTACTGAATTCTTTTCTACAATTGTCAAATATAACTCCCAACATCTCGAGCAAAACAGTTAAATCAGTAGTTCTGCCACCAGAACTACAAATTATTTATATGTGTCACCTGCAACTATTACCTCACATGACTGTATACTTTCTTTCAGAAATGTACCATGAATCCCTTATATTTGGCAATACTGAGGTCTAATTTGGTGGAAATCTGTATTCCCTGTTTTAATATAATCATCTGTTTGCTAATCAATTTACCAATTGTTAGCCATTCTTAAATGATTGAAAAGGTTGACTGTGAAGGTCAAGAATGTGCAGCAAAAGTGACAACAAGGCTATCCATCGATGTTCACTGTTATTTAAGCAGCTTTCAATGACTGCACATGACAGTTGGGTAAAGAATCAGCAAATTACTGTCTGCACTGTTCTGCTTCTCCACAGACTTATTTTACCAGTATCTCACCGAGAAAGTCAAAATTCAAATAAATAAAATAGCATGAATTTTCAGTATTTGATCATTAGATACCTACAAAATATACCAGAAGTCATTTTTTAAAATCAAGAGATATGGGTGTTGCTGGCTAGATCAGCATTTATTGCCTATCCTTAACTGCCCTTGAGAAGGTGGTGACGAGCTATCACCTTGAACCACTGCAGTTCATGTGGCGTAGGTACATTCACGATACTATTGGGAAAGAAGTTCCAGGATTTTGACCCAGCAAATGAAGGAACAGCGATACAGTTCTAATACAAGTTGGTGAATGGTTAGAGTGATGTATTTGCTGCCTTTGTCCTTCTAGGTAGCAGAGGTCGCAGACTTGGAAGATGCTATCTAACGGTACTTGTTGCACTGCATCATGTAAATGGGAGACATTATTGCTCCCATTCATTAGTGATGGAGAGTGAATGTTGAAAATGTTAGATATGGTGCTAATAAAGCAGGTTTCTTTGTTATAAACAGGACAGAGCTTCTTCAGTGCTTTTGCAATTGTATTCATTCAGGCAAAAGGGGAGTATTCCATCACACCCCAAATTCAGACTATAAGTCGTAGGAGCAGAATACTGCCATTCAGCCCATCAACTCTGCATTGCGTTCCATGAGATCATAGCTGATCTGATAATATTCAACTCTGCTTCCTTGCCCTGAATATGCTTAATCACCCAGCTCTATAAGACTCCATAGTAAGGAATTCAACAAATTCAACACCTTCAGAGAAGAAATCCTTCCTCATCTTTGTCTTAAAATGGGCAATCCATTACTTTGAAGTTATGCCCCTTGGTCCTGCACTTCCCTACAAGAGGAAACAATGTTTCCACATCTACCCTGTCATGTTCCCTAAGATTTTTAAATGCTTCAATAAAGGTCACCTTTCATTCTTCTAAAATCTTATGAATATAGGCCCAACCTACTCTAACCTTTTCTCATAAGGTAGTCCCTCCATACCCAGAATCACCCAAAGAACATTCTCTGGACTGCCTCCAATAGCAATGTATCTTACCCTAGATGAAAGAGACCAAAACTGTTCAAAGTACTCCAGTTGTGGTCTAACTAGTGACTTGTATAGTTTTAGGAATACTTACGCTAATTTTTATTTGCCATTCTCTTTGAAAATAAGGCTACTATTCCATTTGCCTTTCCTGTTATCTGCTGAACTTCCATGTACTTTTGGCCACTCTCTGAACTATCTATGTCTCTCTGCAAAATCTTTGTGCCATCTTCACTACTTGCCTTCCCATGTAGTGGCAGTTCTGAACTAGGGTTATATTGGATTAGAAACATTAACTGTGTTTCTTTCTCCACAGATGCTACCAGACCTGAGTTTCTCTGTTGTTTCAGATTTCTACCATCCAGTATTTTGCTCTGATTCCCTGTTAGATCGTGTACACAATTGGGATTCTTGAATGAGACTGGTTAAGGAAACTTATTGATCCTTGCCCAGCTTACGCGGATTCCAGATTTCCTGTGGAGGAAGACAACTGCTTTAGCTCCCAGATAACTGCACGTTCACATGAAAATGCCCGCAGAAGGTCTGTGAATAAATGCAAGTCTAATTAATAGGTAGCATCTTTCATTTGCTGCAAAAATTCAGAGCTATGCAGCACGAAAACAGACCCTTCGGTCCAACGAGTCCATGCCAAACATAATCTCAATCTAAACTAGTCCCACCTGCCTGCTCCTGACCCATATTCCTCTAAACCTTTCCTATTCATGCACTTATTGAAGTGTCTTTTAAACACTAACTGTGCTGCATTCACCACTTCCTCAGGAAGTTCATTCTGCATGCGAGGTATCCCCTGTATAAAAAATTTGTCCCTCATGTCATTTTTAATTCTCACTCCTCTCCCCTTAAAAATATGTCCCCAAGTCTTAAATCCCCTATCATATATACGTATTGTTTCAATGGCATGCAAACAAAAATAGTTAACATTTAAACTGAGAGCCATAGCACTGTCCATTTGTAATCTTTAGGAAGCTCCAGCAGGGTCATACTCCAATTTCTGCAATCTATATCACTGTCCAGCTTGTTTGGGCCAACTGGAGGGATGATTGTATGTTATATGAACAGTGTTTTTCATTTATACAAAATTGATGCTAAAATTTATTAGTATAAAAGCGTGTGAATTAAAGTTTATTGCATTGTCACTTTTCTGTAAGTGCCATATGATGGGAAGGTGATGGGAAGGTGGTTATTATGAAAGTTTCCACTAGTTGGCAGCCTTGGCCTAAACAAGTGTCCTATGCATTTGTAGAATTTTCCACGTCTGATTTAAATATGAAAGTGCATTTGATTTTATATTCAATATTGTAATTACTGGAACTAACATTGAATTAAACTTTACTTTAGAATAGGTTTCTTCTACCTTGCAAACACATTTATCCATTCTCCATCTACGCTCTACCCAATTCCAATTAAGTACATTCAGTCATAATTTCATATTCTCCTCTGGACAGATTTCCAGGGCAAAAGAACATATTCTTGTTAAGGTGATAATTATTTCAATGAATAATTGCTCACAATGGTCAAAATCTGCTTTACATGACCAGAATTATTCCGTTGCTATTACTGCACTCATTTAAAGTAATTGGTGCACTTTATTTGGGTGTGCTTAATACTTGGGTGACATTTCTCAATTGTTAAAAAAAAATGCCTCAGTGTAACACTGCTAACGTGCATCATCTAGACCATGAATGGATAATGAAATGCCTGATGAGTGTTAATTGTGTTTAACTGGATAAAACAATTTTTAGGATGTCTTGTTGATTATTGTGTAGTTTTGCGCTATGCTCATCAGCACTTTCAACAGCTGAGAAGTGATTCAGTCATCGTTGATTTTTGATTGAAAGCAATAATGTAATAAAATAAGACCATTAAGAAAAAAGACTAACACTAAGCTCTGTGGGTCAGGCCGCATTCTGTGAGAGTCAGCAGCATAGGGCGTAACCACAACTAAGTTGTTTGTTTACTAAGTGGGAAATTTATAATTGGGTGCAAATCGAAATTTAGTGCAGAAGGGGAAAAAGGAGATGCTCCTTGGTATCTTTAACATTGCAGTTTATTGCATTAATTTGATGCAGAAAGTACTTAAAATTCTGAAGTGTTTGAGAATTTTGTGCAAACTACTGCACAAAATAAATTAAAACAGACTTTATATAGTATAAAATGTAGGCTAAAATGAAGACCATAGATACCTAAACCACACTAAAAAGCATAGGATTGTCCAGTAATGTCTAGCCGGCTGGGATAAACAATTCCTCAACCCAGTGATGTCACACAACAGCATGTTGGTGTGTAGTACATATTTCTTTGCTTTAATGTGGGTAACAGTAATTTCTTTTTAAGAAAAGCAGTCTATCCGAGGAGGGGCATTTAGCTCAGTGGTTAGACACTGGTCCTTAGTAACACCAACAATGAGTTCAATCAATATACGAGATGGGCTAGTTCTCGGAACCCGCCTCTATTCCTTGACCCATTGTGGTATCATGGCATCAAGCAGCCATGACTAGCAAGACAACAAGGTGCAGGGCTGGATGAACACAGCAGGCCAAGCAGCATCATAGGAGCAGAG